TCTTCCAGGTAGAATTATAGGTATTCCCGTATGGGTTTCCTTGAGCATAATTCACTTGATCAAATGGCACTCCTGTTAAAAGTGGACATTCAGGCGCAGCATGTGCGTAAAGTCCGCATAAGTCGCGGGTTGGAGCTACTGCTGCCACAGTGGTTGCGGAGGTTGTTGTTAATTTTTCTATCATTTCAGCAAGAGCTCCTACCTTAGTGTTAACTTGGTCTAAATTTCTAACTTCGTACATATCGCCTTTCGTTTGAGGTTTCTCCATAATGGTTCTATCGCTTCCCCACAGGTAATGGTTTTGAGCTATACTTTCAATAAGTTGATAAGCGTCTTGATAAGGTTTATCCATCAGTGCACCGCCAGCTGCAACATCAATCGTTAGTCTTATGTTATACAAGAGATCATTGTAAAAGGTGTTGATGATCAGCCATTCTTCTATACCATGATGTGGACAAAGTTGCAACATGTCTTTGTATCTTTCCCATGCTTCAAAAAGAGATTCTCTTTCCTTTTGTTTAAAACCATTGATATTGGCTCTTAGCATAGACGTCTTACTCGGCGGAAAATACCTCCCTAGGGAAACTTTCTTTAACTCATTCCATGTGGCAACAAAGTTGGATGGTAGAGATTGGAGCCAATCTCTAGATCTATCTCACAATGAAAAGGGGAAAAGACGAAGTCTTATTGCTTCGGGGTTGACACCATTTTCTTCCATTGTGTCTGTGTACTGCACAAACACGAACAAATGTAAGTTTAGATCGTTTGTGGGACATCCTGAAAACTGATTTTGCTCGATAACTTGTAATAATGAAGGTTTTAACTCGAAATCATTCTGAGCGATAGTGGGGGAATCAATGTTGTTGTGAGGTTTCTCTTGCGATGGGGCTACATAATCCTTCAGAGGATGATTTTGTGGTCCTTCGAACATTCTTGGTTCAGGAAGGGATAAATCGAGAAGATTGAATTCGGGAAGATTATACTTAATTTGGTATTTTCTAATTCGGCGTCTTATACTAAAAAACTGCTCGACCTCGTCGATTGGTTGCTCTAATTATTTGCCTTGAGAGCTTGAGAGTGAGTGCTTGGCATACAATCAACGGATAAAAAGGAAATAAAATTGATTGCCTTAGTCTATACTGCATAGCAAAGGAATCACAATATCAACTAAATCAGTCCCCAGCAGCGGTGCCAAAAATTTAATCACGACTTTAAGAGTCTATCGGGTGTATTAACTGCAAGTGTAGAGTTTAATCGCGTAGTTTTAAAAGATATCGAATCCACAAGGACATATAATCAAATTAATGCTATCTAAAGTTACTGTGTAAAGCTAAGGCTAATAATAAATCTTAGGTTTTAGGGTAGACGAAAATAAACTTAGACTTAATTGAAATATTTAATAATGGGACACCGGTACGTAATAGTCTGACTTTGAAATTCAGTAATTCATTGGCATAGCTTTGAGTGTTCAGTAGAAACTATCGATTTAAAAACCTTTATCTCAAACTCTCGTGATTGTTATTCAGATTATATAATTAAACTTAATGCTGGCTCTTGCTGTCTCATTTAAAATCCAAAAATACTTTTTGAAAATAAATAGAATCTAATTAATCCTAAACCGCTCTCGTTGTATTTAAAATTAATGTTTGATTACCACTATCCAGTTAAAAACTCACACTTTCGTGATTATTGGTTTTAGCCTTCATCTGTCTCTTACTCACGTATCAAAATAGTTTTATATTAAAATTTGGAAACCAAACCAGAAAAGTATTTTATAAAAGGTTTATGCCAAATTATTATTGAACTCCTTCAGTTTGTAACATTACATACCGGTATCAGGGAAATTACCCAGACATATTATTAATTATGAACACAAAGTAATAGCGGACATATAATAATTAAGTCATGATTGATAAAATAGAAAACAATAATATAATTGAATTAAAAACCTTAAATTAAATAATGAAAATAGAATTTTTGCAACTTCTAGTACTGAAAGCAATCCTCCACAATATGCCAGCTGGATTTGCTTGCGGAAAAATAACTTGAATGTAGAACAAAAAGTATAAAACTTAAAGAAAAATTCAGGAGGCAATGAAAAAAATAATGAGAAATAGCTTTCCGGTGTAGAAAACTATTATTGTTTAGGTGAATGTTTTATCTGCTTAAAATCTAAAGAAAGCTCTAAATTGTTGAAACTGGAATAATGGTGAGAAAAATGGAAAATGCTAAATAATGTAACAAGAACGAGAGAGAGCGGAGACGAGAAGAGAAGCCCGCCAACACATTGTAAAATGTGCTTCTTTTATATTACTTTTCCTATAACAGATTTCTTGAGAGAATCTAGGAGTTGTGACTTCATGCTTTAGAAAAATCTGTGCGTGGATAAAGACCATGAGGAAATAATGCAGGAGTCGTTGGCAATGGAAACATAGAGAATCATGGAGAAAACTTCGCGCGTTAAAAAAAATAGGCTGTACCGAGTGGCATGCATTGTGTGCCGTGGGACACACATATTTCTATCTTTTTCTGATCGTCGTGGCATGTGTGCCGAGGGGAACACATTTTTAACTTGTGTCAAGCGCAAGGGAAGGTGTGACGATCGTCACAGCCTTCTGATATGAATTCTTCTGCTATTTTCTGATGTTTTCTGATTTTCAGTCCGTTTCTTTTCCATTTCTTCTACTTTTGTCATGTAGGCATGGATGAAATAATAACCTGAAACAAACTTGAAATACCAACATAATTCAACCTAATTGAGATAAAACGATAACTTTATTTATACAAATTGGGTCGAATATGCTATGTATTTTCGCATTATCAATGGCACCCCAAAGGAACATCATCACAATGTAATGTTGGCGTGTATGCACAGATTGGAAGGTTGAAGAAGAAGAGAAAAAGTAGGCAAATTTTATGGTATCATCAAGTTATGAATGATGCATGAATGAGTATTTATAGTTGTGGGACAATTAGGGCAATAAGGGAAAATTTGGAATAAAAAAGAGATTAAAATATGACTGAATTAAATAGGATGTGTCGACCTCAAACTCGTATGTGTCGACACATTCTTTGTGTTTAGGTCGACCTGAACGACTCAGAGGCTACATCCTTAAATACCTAGTAGATGTGTCAACCTGAAAAACAGATGTGTCGACACATAAAATAGAAATTTCTGCAATTTCAGAATTCTTTCAATATGTGACATGTATGGATGCATGTGTCGACATAAGATTTTTGAGAAGCTACAGGCTTTAAAAATGAGTTAAATGTGTCGACCTGAAACTCGGATATGTCGACACATGCAACTAAAAACTATGCAAAAATGGTTTTTGAATGGTTTGGATCAATTTCAATGTTTTTTGATGATTCTTAAGACCTATAATGTAGAGGAGTGCCACAAGACATAAGGATAACATCTACTTCACATAAGTGCCATCTTGTCCCGATTTTGATATCATACAAAACACTTTGAATAAAAGTTATACTCACGTGTATGAGCTATAAGTTATGATGTACCAACTTTAGGACTCCACTTCTTCTTATTCTTTGCAAGAACATGTTTGGGTCTGGGCTGAACACCAGGTGTAATACCCAAAATTTGACCTATTCTTTTCACTTTTATCTGGCTTGAGCTTTTGCATTCATCTGCATATATTCTATTAGGTCACTTACATGGCAGACATTTACATTCCATAAGGCACTTGAGGTTCAAAAGTTCAATGATCATGCAAGTTAAGGGTTTCTTAGTGTTTTGAGATGCGCATATCGAATAAGGTTGATTTGTCTGTTTCTCCTCCAAGTATTAAATTGGAAAATTAAGGTTTTTCTGGCTTTAAGGTTTCACTTTCCATTCAAGGGTCGTCAACGTATCCCTTCATCAACCTTGGTCTAAGGAGCTAGGGTTTGTGATGGGGACCATTGAAGACCTATTTCTTTCTCACTAATGATTCTGACTAAGAAGACTGTCAACTATGGCTTTGATGATAAGTTGTGTTTCATTCAGCATATACCTCCGGAAGATTAGGGTTTATATCCTATCATACTAGGGTTTATCAATATTTTCACTAGATGTTCATTGGATAGCAAGGCATGATATAAGGATGGTGTTGTGAATTCATTAAGATCAAGTCGTGTTGATTCTCTTATTGTTTGTTATACAAGATTGATGGAGATTAAGGAATTGAATTGGTATTGAGTCATGTCGTGGATTCAAGACGATTCATTTAATGGATTTAAAATTGGCTAAAGCATGCAAGTTTGGAGGTTTTGTTCCCCTGAAACAAGTAATAAGGTTTGTTCAAGTCTTTATTCAAGTATCATCCAAGCATTGATTTAAACTCCATTCAAATTTGTTATCATTCATCATGGTTCAAATCACCATTTTCAAGTTCAAATAAAAGAAGAGAAAAAACTTTCAAATTCGGAGTTCAAGTCATCCATCCTGCATAATGGTTCAGTTTATATGAAAAAATTAAGGAAAACTTGGCATTCAAATGATATTTGGATGACAAGTTTATTCGAGAACTATTCATTGCATCCAAGAAATTCTCATTACAAGTTCATGTCATTCGCATTTCAAGCCACACTATTGTCATAAGGCCATGATCCATTACAAATTTCCATTACATCTTGAAATATTGAACAAAAGAATGAAATTTGAAAATGGAATTAAAGGAGGAAAATGGTGTTTCATCTAATGTTATTGAACAAATTTATTTTGAAAGTCCCAATGTGCAATTACAAGTGAATTCAAGTGCATTACAAGAGGGAAAAAGAGAGAAAATCACAGGTCCTTAAAGAAATTCACCATTGACCAAAATATGATCTTTCATTGAAGAAACTCCTACAACCTATTTCACTTTAGCTACGGTTTGGTCTTCATCATCTCAAATTGCCTCATGTTACATTAAACTTCCATGCTCCATATTCAACAAGATCTTTTTCCTTAGCTTTCCTCCATGCTTCATGCTTTATATATCATCAAAACCATATTTCCTTCAAAGTTGCAGCATATGGCTAGAATTTCTGAATCTCAAAACCAGGCCTGCATAAGTGTTTGGCAGCATTAGATAAGAGTAAAACAAACCAGAAAACGATATAACCAGTCAGCATTCACACAACCCTGCATCACATATATAACTCTCAGTTTTATTCAAATAAAAATCCAGCATTGCTAATAGAAAAAACAGAAACAGACCCTTCACAACCTTCTAACCAATTTCTAACTAACTTCTCAACCTTCCAAGTCACTAACCAACAACAAAACCAATTCCATAACTTATATAACAGAAAATGGAAATAGCCTTGTAACTAACTATCCTAACAAACTAACAGAGCTAACAGGATTTTCCTAACTAATTTTTCCTCTCCATAACAAAACTAACTGAATTCTAACTGAATTCTAGCTTCCTCCAACTAAATGGAAAATAAATCTCCTAACTCTCATCCTCTAACCATAGTCTAACCTCCTAACTATCATAACCCCTCTCACCCTTCTATTTTCTTTTCCTAATATCCCTAACAGTTTCCAACTATTCCAGAAAACAGCCCTTAACTTCCCTAACAGAATTCTAGCAAATTCCCAAACTTCTTTCCAACCAACCTATAACCATGTCCTAATCGTTTCTAACCAATTACGTAACAAACTAACAGAAAATCACATAAACTAACCTTTAACTAATTCCTAACAAAATCCTAGATCAGTAACCGATTAATAAACTAACAGCCAACTAACTGTTTATAGCAACCTCAATCCAACCCTTCATCTCATAACTAAATTTCTCAATCCAAAGGCTCGGATTACTCCTCACTCAACTGCTTCTCAAACTCCAACAATCTATATAAACCTCCTAGCTGTTTTATCAAAGCTCTCAATAATTTGTACAAGAAAAATAGAGAAGGGAGAATACAATTCATCTACACAGAGTAAACTACCAAGAAAGTGATCTATCTATTCTCTGCATGATTTACAATAGAAGTTCACAGGACAAAAAAAAGAATTCACCAGAGCATTATCTAAAACAAAATAGACTCTCTTTCACCTCTATCTCTTTGAAATGCATCACTGATATTTCTTCATCATCTTCAACTCTACACCACCATCACTGAATCTTCCTCTCCCTGAATTCAGCACCTTCATCATCACAAATCTCTGCATCAACCTTCATGTATATATAACCGTTTTCAACCTTGATCACCAACAACCCCACAAATCTTTCATCGCCCTGTAACAACAATCTTCACTCACCAACATCACCGCTTCAACAAATTCTGCAATCTCGTTGCATCATCCTCAACACTCACCAATTTCACCTCCCTTTCATCTTCACAAAATCGTAACAGAAACATCAAGTCGGTAATCGCATTGCGCGATCCCTTTTATACTTCTTCGTCTGCGTTCTTCATCACAACAACATGACACCAAAACACAGAGAACAAAAATACATAGGAAGCAGAATAGAATGGAGAAAAAGGAAATAAAAGAACAAACGCGAAAAGGTACCTGACTGACACCAGACTTTCTCTGGTAGCATCGCGATTTTTGAAACGGTGAGAAGGACGCGTTGATCATCCTCTGTAACACTGCACCTTTGAGCAGGAGAAGCCGTGTACGAGCAATTAAGGTGGTGAATCGGAAAGCATGGGAAGATAAACAAGAGGTGACACTGGAAATTGAGAAAGAATATGTTTGGACCTCCTATTCACGGTGCGGCGGAATCACTAGGATTGAGCTTCAATAACGACAGTGAAGCTTGAGCTTGGGAGTGAGAGTTTGAGTGGAAGACAGATTCAAAACGGAAGGAGTTCATCAGAGATGGAGAGTTTGCTCGTGGTGTCGCTCTGATTCGAAGAAGAGTACCTCATGAATATCAATCGACACTTCTCAACCCTAAACAAAGGTCAAACGTACCATATCCCATTTCATTGTCACAATTTTTGTTTTTTACTTAAAATAAAGATGATGAGTTGATGGGTAATTAGAATAGCTTATAGTTTTGTTTTGTTGATGGGCTGAACTGGTTATTCCTTAGGCCCATGGACTTTTTGGCACGAATTGGTCGCCCTACAAAAATAACCCTTGTGGATTCAGGCTGATGGGGCCTTAAGTCTCTTGTATGTCACTCATGATCTAGAATTTCACCCCCCTTGGTGTTATTTATTTTCAATAATGTCTCTTACTTGTTCCAAGTTTTTTTTGCCAATTATTGTGGGTCATGTTGTGAAACAAAAAGGGGCTTGAGTGAAGAGTTTCGAGAAGCTTTAGAGTTAACTAAGAGCGTAATTTTTTCAAGGGAATTCAAGGAGATTTTCTGTAGAGTTTTCTTATTGCTTGTGTGATTATGAAGATTCAACGGACCTTCTTTGTACGGTGTCATCGTGACCTTAATTTATTTTCCCTTTTGCTAACTTTTTAGTCAATTTTGATCACTAGTTTTACTCATTCTATGCCATATATTTCATTTGTGATTTTTGGTATGGATTGTATGCAATGCTTTAATACTTGCTACCAAATTTTACTTGTTTGTATATTCTTTCATGATTCCTTAGTAGATTTTGGTTCAAATTTAATCTTCGATTTAATTGAACTAAAATTAGACATTAGGATTTTAAATCCAAGCATGCAAACATTAGGTAGAATTCCCTCGAAATTCCAACTTTAGGTCCAATGATGCATAATAACATTAGGTTTAGAAATAGGCTAGTCTCCCTTTGACTTTTCAATCCCATTTTTGCATTTGCATTAAAACAAGAACTTCTTTTTCCTTTCAAACTTCAAAATACTTTAAAGTTACTGAGAATCATGCCTTTGCTTAGTATGAGAGATGATAAGCGGGTCCCTTCTCGATCTTATTGTTCTTCCATCTCAAGCCTAGGTGTGGTTCAAGTCTGAAAGACTCCTTTCATAGATAAGTGGAAAAGTGGTTAATATCTCTCTCTTGAGGTCAACTAGCCATTATCTGCAACAAAAATGCAAACCAACTCAAACTTTTTTGTGCGCCCAAGCACCTTTTCTCTAAAACCCTTTTCATGTAAGGACATGATTTGTTTACTTTTGTGCCAACGCATAAGTCTCCAAAGGTCGAGCTGGGGAAGAAGGCATAATTAACATTGTCCATAAAAAAGACAAAACAAACAAAAACATGTTAGTCGAACTACGGTAGCTCTGATTCCTCAAAAGGGATACGTAGGCATTGGGGTAGGGGCCAAGCGAGTATAATTTTATTTTCCCTACATTCTTTTCTCCTTTCTTTTGCAGACATTATTTCTCAGTAGTAAACAATAAGAATAGATTAAACACACCCATAAGATAGATAACAAGAGTGGATACCGTAGAGTACTATGGACGTGTGGGGTGCTAATACCTTCCCCTCGTATAACAGACTCTCTTACCCGATCTCTCAGTCACAAGACCGTGACTTCTCCCTTATAAGGTTTTCTTGATGTTTACCTTTCCATTTATTTGGGATAAAAGATGTTCGATGGCGACTTCATTGTTTGATGATTTTCATCCGGTTGTTTCAACTGGCGATTTCACTGGGGACAGGTCGTCCAAATGCTGGTCCATCCCAGAGTCGATCCTAGCTCTTGTATTCTTATCTTTGGGTGTTTATTTATATGCTTTATGGATTATTCATTTTGTATATACCTGAGCATATGTATGCATTGCATTTTATTGTTTTCCATATACTACAATTGTACTGGATCTGCTTCTTGATTGGGTTGGGATGTTACTATTGAGGTAAAAGGCCCAGTACCCAGGCCAGAGTGTACTAGGACACTAGGAATAGAGTGGGGGCATGGCAGATATAGGACATGGTCCGACTAGTGCATTCATTTCATATACCATGCTCGAATGAGGTTCAACTGGAGGTATTTTCAACATGCACGTCTTTGTTGCGGTGATTTTACTTTCAAGTGAACCCGTGATTTTTGAGTTACCCTTGCCTTACCCTGGCCTAGTCTTCACCCGTGAGTGGGGAAGGAATTATTATTACAAGTACAGATGGTGACTATGTTCTGATGGTTACTCATGTTCAGATGGTGACTATGATCAGACAGTGACTATTGGTTCTAATGGTTATGTTCTGGATTTCTGCTTGTGATTTATTCATATGCTATATTATGTTGGTGACTATGGGGTTCTCGGATTTATTTTCTGAGTTCTTGACTTGTTTATATGGAGGTTCATCCAAGACTTCAATCTTGGTATTCCCAGCATGTTCAGAAAAGGCTCAACAGTATCCAGTTCCAGAAGCCTTGATCCTGTACTATTGATGATCTATATGGTACTTGGTTCTTGTATGTGCCGAAGCTATGTCGGGCTTTTGATCTGGTGATATTCATATGATTCAGAATAGTACAGTAACCATATTCAGAAATGATGGAACTTTGATCCCATGTCTTTGCATACATAACATGGTTAACCACATGCATAACATACATGTTCTGTTATTTCCAAGGAATCATATTTGTAAGTCTTGTGCTAAATTATTCCATCTTTTACTTGCGTGAAATCAAAATCAAAGCACGTAAATTCCATGGAAATGACAGAACGTGACATGGAATCCATTCATGCAACCCGTGCATATTCATGCATCCATAACAGGTACTCAGAGATTGGGGATTCTTATTCAGACCTGGTGTTTTCCTCAGAGGTTCAACTTGATTTCTTACTGTCAAATGCTCAAGGATCAGTCATGGAATAACTCTGGTATACATGCAAGCTTTGGCTCGTGGTCAGAAATTTCTTCGATCATGAAGATAATCAAATGAAGACTCAGATAAGCCAGGTCATGAAAGCTCTGATGATGATGTCAACAATCATGCACTTACTTCTGCAACAAGTTCTCCCTTCTCCTCATCTTTTGGGAATTGCTTTAAACCATGGAGTGCTACACAATCTTGAGTTCTTGGAACATCTTATCAGAAGATGGTTCCCATTTACTATGGAATATTATATCAGTGCTTCATTCTTGTTGACCAACGACAGATGTGGTTGCCACACCGGGACACCAAACTTTTCAATCAGGGGCACTCCCCACAGCTTTGTGTCCCCTGATTTGTTAAACATCATCCAGTATTTGTTCCCTAAGTGAATTTATTGGGCTAGGATTTTAAGCAAAGACAAAAGAAGCCTGATGAGCATGTTGATGAGATACCAATGCATTACATCCTGTTAGTTCCAACTATGATCTTTGGGGTCCTCCTCCCATAAACATCTCTTCTGATGATGATACACATGCTAGATGTATCCCCTATTCTGGGGCACCCGGTTTCGATATCGAAGACTATAAAGGGGTTGAAGTATAAAGTCCAGCACATGTCTGGCGTCTCTTCCAAAATTCAAATTCCTATTTGGCCAACAGTTGGACTCTTTCTCACTAGCTGGATGTCTCTGTTGTTCTGATAGAAGATGAATTGTATTGTCTCTTTATGGCTTAAGATGCTTGGTGAGGTAGTTCATACCAATTCACTTGGTAGAGCATTCGTTCTCTCTCCTAAAAGAATCTTCTAGGCATATTATTCTGGGGCACCTGAACATTCAATTAGAGATGGTATGTCATCCAGAGACAAGGTCCTAGATGGAATCAATCCAGAGACTATGGTATCTAAATCAGATCAGAAAGGGAATTCTCTCGCCCATTTACGCATCAAGACCGCAGAAAGTCATCAAAATCAAGAAATTCATATGGAGTCAAGTCTCCTCAATGATGGAAATCATTGGTTTCTTTACTGCATTTTCATTTGCGTTCTTGCTTGTTTGTTTAAACATTGCTTGTATATAGAAACTTGTCTATTTTTGAATGAAAATCTTAATGCAATAAGTATGCTTGTCTTGAAGTGCTCCTTTTGTTTTTATTCATTCATTCGTTATCACTCTTTAAATGTTTTACTTGCATATTGATGCCAAGTCTCCAAGTTTTATGCTTAGGTAAAGATTGGAAGAAGGATGACGATAATCTAAAAACGCAAAAAATCTCTGGTTGGTATGCTTTTAAGTAAGACCCTGCTGACGATGTACAGGCCTTGTTTTAACTCCTAAACACCGGAGATATAAGGGAGATAGATCCTTGTTAACCCCTATGAGCCTTCGAAGTAGGAGTTCCTTTTCTGCTCAGAAGAAACCCTCATTTTATCCCTGGGGCGGGTAGTGTTCAGTTAATATGATCAAGTATTCAGAACTCATCAAGAGTGTGTATCCAAGGATACAACAATGGTTATCCATCAAAAGGTCTAGGAAAGTCAAAACCATAATGGTTAACCCTTAACTATCAGCAACGTGCATCAACTAATGGTATCTCAATGGGTATCTCTCGCACATCAGGAGGTCAACAAATGACAATACAATAATGGATATCCCTCATCTACCAAAGACTCAGACAGTCACGATCACTTTCGATAAATCAAAGATAATGCAAAGATCAACGACTTGTTCAAAATGGAAAATACGAATAAGAAAGAATCATAAATCCCCACTAAGTAGAAACTTGAAAACAAGTCACTTAGGAAAAAGTTGGGGCATCCCGCTGGACTTCCAAATCGAAATTCAAGAGAATTTATCCAGGAAAAGGCAAGAAAGAAGCTGAAAAGCCTAAAAGAAGAGAAAAGGATTACCAATAAAAATCCTTATCGAAATAACAAGGTCGTGTGATCAGACACCAAAATCAGAAGTTAGTGAGTGTTGTGTCCAAGAGGCCTCAGTGGTTCCTCAACCATCGCAAACTCTTCTAGAGAGATGAATGCTTGTATCGTGTCAACTGAATGTAGGAATGGAGAACATCATGGAGAATGGGTGGGCACCAAATAATTTTGAGCCTTAAATCCTTTTTTCTAAAACTGTGAACCGGGCCACGTTACAACCCTTTCAAAGTCCTAACTGAAGCATAGGTCAATTTGGAAGTGTGCTACAGTGAGATAGCGTTT